CTACAAAAAAGCACTAGCTCTAATACTTCAAAAATATTTTTAAAAGTCTGAATATGCATTATAGTTCATTTCAATTCCTTCAAGGATCCAAAAAGAGACGACCTTCAAAACACAATGGACAGAATCAATGTTATAGAATTCTATATTGTTCAAGATCATACACATAGATATCATAAAAATATAAACACCAGACAGAAAAGCACTTTCCACATCAAAACTTGTATATGAATGCTTATAGCTGCATTATTTATGATAATGGAAAAGTGGAAATAACCTAAATGATCAACTGATGATGGATATAACATTGCAGTATAAGATGGAAAATTATACAGCGCTTAAAAGAAATGAAGATACACACTACATGTAGATGAACCTTGAAAACTTACAACTAAAAAAAGCACTTCCAATGACCACCTATTGTATGATTCTATTTATATGAAATGTCCAGAATAAATAAAGGAATACGGATACAATAATAGTTGTTTAGGACTTGGGTGATAAAAAGAGAGGGATTTCTTTTAGGAGGTACAAAAATCTTTCACAGTTATTATTGGATGATTTCACATTCTGTAAATATATTAAAAGTACATTATTGTACACTGTAAATAAGTGAATTATATTGTATGTGAATTATATCTTAATAAAACAAATGAGAAATTTGCCATCTCCACCATCCAAAGGAATTTCTAAAAACTGCTTTACTTGTAAAATTTTCCCTAAAAATGATATGTGTGAGTTCATATGAATATGTATATAGTACAATAAGTTTTATATATACACATATATATATGCACACATATTCATACACATCATTTTTGTTTGTTTATTTTTTCTTATTCCTAAGTAGGCCTTTGAAAACCAGTTTTAGGACAGGTTCTTACAATTAAAAATCTTTGCTAGGTGGTCAGGACAATTTTAAGTTATGCAAGTCCTAGCATTTTCACAATTTCCCATGTGAGAATGTGTCAGAAGATAATAAGATCTCATAGGACATTTTTTTCTCTCTAGTCAGCTGAAATTGTCCTGATTTAATTTTACTCCATTACTCCTTATTACATTGCTTTGGACAGCCTAATCCCATTCTCTCCTTGGTAGCTATGTTCTCTAGGTAGACCCGAGCATCAGCACACCACATCCTCTGCAATCATTAGCCCTCAGCACAGCATGTTTAAAATTACCTGAGTCTCCCAATGAGTTGAAATTATAGGCTCTCAAGCTGACAATCATAAATAATGTCCAGGAGATTTTCTTTGCTTATCTTTATTCTACTATTCAAATGATGTTTAAAAATTTGTCACTTGTGTAATATGTTTTATCTATTATGAATGCAATGAGCCTGGTAGGTAATGTATGTGTATACACGATGTGTATGTGGTATATACACACATTATATATATGCTATATATATCATATGCACATACCCCGTACATATACCCAGTGAACGTGAGTAATGCACATTTTAGGATCATATAGCTATATTGAAATTCATACCCTACGTATATATTAGGTTAAAAATAGCTATTCTCCTAACACTCTTTTCCCAGACAAAATACATAGAATAAATTCTGTAATCCCAGCACTCTGGGGGGCTGAGGCAGGTGGACTGCCTGAGCTCACAGGTTCAAGACCAACATAAGACAGAATGAGACTGCCATCTCTAAAAACAGCCATGCATTCTGGTGGGCTCCTGTAGTCTCAGCTACTCAGGAGGCTGAGGCAAGAGAATCACTTGAGCCCAAGAGTTTGAGGTTGCTGTGAGCTATGATGCCATAGCACTCTACCCAGGGTGACAAAGTGAGACTCTGTCTCAAAAAATAAATAAATAAAAAGAAAAAATTCACAAATATACTTTAGATACTAAAATTCACCAGAAACTTACTAATAGAATATAAACAGGTTAATCAAAATGATTTACTATTTGTCAAGAGAGGCAAGACATATTCACCAAAACTATCTCCACATTTTATCTGCCTGACATTAAAAAATAAACAATAAAAACTTCTTAGGTTAGAAGAGTTATATGAATCGACTAAGAGTATAATACCACTCAACTCATTGTTTGAATAATCCCTTGTGGTCACATTTGAAAAAAAAACCCTGATATTTACTGATGTTATACTCTGTTACAGTAGCTTCATATATACATACATATACACATACATGCATATATATATTTAAAATTTTCATTGATCTTTCTATAGGAAGTTGTTACTATTAATTCACTTCTACCAATAAGAACACAGAGAGCTGCAGATATACGATGGAACTTGAGTTTTTGAAAATTATTTACAATGAGTTACTATAGATACATGCACTAAATTCCCCCCAATTCATCTCTATTCCCAACGTTCTGTGTGAGGGAATCTGGAGGCTGGCCAGTGGTAGATACGTCTTAAGAGACAACACTAGACCAGTCCTAAGATCCCAAGCTTCTCTTGGGCTGCATGACGTTTGTGTGGATAGCAAGATCTTCACGCAAAACACAGACACTGCTACCAGCCATAGATGAGAACTATGCAGACGTTACAACAGCCACGGGAACTTGAACTTAAATACACCAAAGGCTATCTACATTCTTTCATGTATGCCAGTTTTCCCCACAAAAATATTCTAATTATTAAAAAATCTAAACTCGATAAACAAATATGGTTTTAGTTCTAACCATTTTTCTAATCTATACTACACTGAATCAACTGTCATATTTCGTAAAGCTCTCTTAAAAATATGTTGGCCCAAATTTTAACAGCTTTTCAGCTGCTCCAAATCTCTTCTTTGCTACTCATCCAGAATAAGTTAGGTAGGACCTTAATTATAAGCTTGCAGGTAGGAGGTGCACAAGACTAGCTTGGGATAAGACACACAGACCTCCTTTTCCCCTTTCCTCAGCTTCTTCTCAGGCACTAGGTGAGGAAGTGGAGGAGGAAAAGGCACATGTTTCCTTCCAGGCCAGGGATAGTTGCAATGCTCCACCCGTTAGTTATGGCTGATTTTACGGGTGCAATGGCTGGCTGGGGTATCCAGCCGTTGGTCTAGTGTCCAAATGCTGGGCATTTTTCTGAAATGTACTGCACAGTTCCACTTCCAATTCAGGACCTCATGCTACTGGGGTGCTCTCATTCAGTGGGCAGTTCTCTTTTATACCAGCACAATGGGCCTATGCCCAGCAACTTTCTAATATGTCCACTGAACCAAGAGAGACACAGGTAGCCTCATTTCACCAGACACTGGGTGTGCAGAGTGCTCCACTGCTATCCCCCTGCTGTCAGCCCATTTACTAGCCAAGCAGACATTAACGCAAGGAAATACAGTTCCCACACCTTCATCTGATAGTCAGCTCCAGTCATTACAAGTCTGTCCCATGGTATATCACTTTCTGGCTTTAAGAAGAGAGTAATAGCTTTTCTTTGAGCATCTATCAGTTCTCTACTTATTTTGATTTGAAAGTTATGTGGTATGGAGGGTCTTGGCTTCTGTCAATTAGGATTTAGGGGTTTTATTCTAGCTCACCTGCAAGTAGCTCTCAGAATGTACAGGTCTCAAATACCTCTTGGCCTTAGTTTAAGACCTGCCCTACATAAAAGGACAAGAAATAAAAGCTCATCCCATATTTAATTACACTTGATTGCAACACACATTTTTCTAGTTTTCATTCACATTTTTTAAAAATCAACATATCTTTCAAAATAAGCTAACTTTCTAGTGTTAAGATGTTTGATGCTAAAACATTTGAGTCTTCTTAACTTCCTATTTTAATAACCTACAGGATATTAGTAGATTAATCATGTAAACTACATTTTCTATAAAGAGTAAATACATATCTAATTTCCATTTCAAAATTGCAGCAAATATGTTATTTTATTTTATTGTACACCATTTATTGCTTCATCCTCAAACTTTTCCACCCAAACATCCAGACAACAAAGTATGAGGCTCCATCTCCACATTTTAAACAGGACCAAGAATACAAGACTATAAAGTACTTTATACACTAAAAGAACAAATTCTCTGAGTATTGCTATAGCCTTTAGCACCAGGGTGCTCTATTTCTTGACAAAGCTACTATTAATATTTTCAAAAAAGTCCAGCTAAGTTACTGAGTCTAATTTTTCTTGGGTTGAGAAAGGGAGTTAACATCGACCTCAGTGTTTGCTATGAACACTAAAGACATGATATATCAACAAAAAATAGAATGCCTAATTCAAGTCATTAATGTAAAATGATAACAGCTCTCATTTATTCAACACTTATACTGAACACCATGCTAGGCTCCTCACAGGCCTTACTCCACTTAGTCTAATTCCACGAGAGCCCTCATTTTATAAATGAGAAGGCTGAGGTTTAGAAACTAAGTTACTTAAGACAGGAAAGGTAGAAGTTAATAAAGACATCATTCAAATTTTTTCATTAAAAATGATTTTTTACTATCTACAGGTTCTAAGGCATGGGTAATTAAATAAAGTAAACAAAATCTCTGTGTTCTGCTATTTCTATTCCATTCTGTTACAAGCCAATGCCTACCCTCTTACCATTTATAGGCATATAAATAAAGTGAGCTTTCAGTAAAAACGTAGAAAATGTTCAACAAATATTTGGCTTATACTCATTAACTAAATAATAGACATGATTTGCAGTGTTTAATTATTTATATTTGTTCCAATAAAAAATGTGTTTGAAGAGAAGTGTCACAGATTAAAATAATTCGATGTACTTAAAGACTCTGCAATAATTAATTTTGCAGCTATTGTATATGTTTTTTAATGAAGGATTATTAAATAATTGTACTGTTTAATATATGGAATGTTCTCTGTGTTAACAATGATGATGCTGTTTATTAATGCTGTTTGTCTTTCAACTCTTTTATATTCTTTCCTCCCTTCAAAAAAAATGTAATTACTCAGGTAAATCTTATCACTTATAGGAAATAATAAAAATCTGAAGAAAACCAAAACAATATTGGTCTGGTCAATCCTAGGAAATGCATGAATTTTTTCCCAAAGAACAGATTTGTACTGTTTTCTCACTGTATCCAATTTTTAAAATATTTTTATGAAGGTTTGCATAGTAAGGATCCATTATAGAAATAACATCTTACTATCACACTATTTGGTTTCTTCAAAAAAACTATGAAGGCACAAACTTTAGCTTTCTAACTAGAATAATCTAATTTTAAGTTACTGTTATATGGGAAGATGAGAATATTGGTGGTGTATTATTCTAAAAGTTAAATCTGATTAATATTTAATTGCATCCATATTCATGGTATTATTTAAGAGTGTTTTTTATGAGACATTGCTATTACTGGAAAACCAGGATAATTTTCTAATTAGCTTAAAATGAACTATAATTTTGAATATTCACTGATAGTGATCATTAGCAGACCTTTTGAGATTAATACACTTGTTGATCCAAATAATGATTTATATGTAGACTGCATATCTTCAGTAGAGTGATACTTTTGAGCCAATTAAACACAGTATTCTTTTGCAGCCAAATTTAAGTGCATATTACACAGATGTTTAGCTATGAATAAAAACTTTTCATTTTCTGCTGAATACATTTTTAAAGTAATAGTAACATGTTATTTACTAGTTGTGAACTTACATAAAACACAATCAGAAATATAATTTTATTGCCATTTATATATTATTATATTATTAATATAAGATGTTTTTCAAATAAAAACATATTTAGTTTAAAAAATACAATTCTGAGTTATTGCCTCAGATAGCTGGGACCTTTGGCCATGCCTCATAGAGCAGCAGGATACTTGGCATAAACACAGACTATTTGAGTAGTTCAATCACTAATGTCTAAATGGCCTGTGATTATATAATTTGGACATACCAAATTGATTTGAAAAAAATTAGGAGCGACCACTAGATTCAAGCAAAACTTTATTTTGGAAAACCACTTATTGAACAAGGTCTTCTCGCACC